CTGATGAAGCAATTTCTAGCATGCCAACAGTGTGCTTTCAACACTAGAGACAAGAAGCCAAAGCCATTGGAGGCGTGATAACTCCTATCTTGCTTGGTGCTGGAGTTGAGCTTGGCACACCAGATGTTACAATGACTTTCCTAGATGTTCCTTATCTCATTAAGATCGGATACCTTTCAGGAGCTATTGAGACAGGATTTGGCTATCAGTTTGAGCTGGAAAACAGGAAGAGGAATATCATCTTGCTCAAGCAGCGCTTAACCAACTTCACCTCCTATGAGAACATCCGAATAATGCCAACATAAGATGAGCTTTATGACCCAAGGACTGACCCACTCATAATGAGGGCAAGCAAAGTGAAGAACATGAGCACCATCAGAGACTCATATGTGGAAGAAGACACTGAATATCAGCATCAAGAACAAGGGGTTCAGGATCAAGGGATGGAGGAAGATGAGTATGAAGACTATAATAGCCGCCCTTATGCATTTGACCCCTATGATGTGATCTGCACATCTGAAGCTTCAAAGGCTGCACATGAGCACATTAGGATTCTTCAGAGGTGGAACCACTTCCAGGACAAAGCCATCTAGAGGCTTGCTGAAGACATTCAAAGCAAGCAAGAAATCGGTTGACTCATTGAAGAAGAAAATTAGGAAGCTCAAGAAGAAGTTGGGAGGATCTTCATCAGCCAAGAGAACTGATCAAGCGGTCCAAAGAGAGCCACAAGGAGGAGGATCTGATGCTGAAGACATGTCTGAGGACACACCAGAGGGTACAGTCCAAGAGAGACTCATTCCACATCAGTGAGCAGCCAAGGACATAAGCTTCTCAACCGGCCAGACATTCATCTCGTGTAGCTGCTCCAAAGCGAAAAGGAAAGAAGAGAAGGACTAGACAGCAAACTCCATCAGAGGAGGAAGCTTCACCTTCCCATGCCATTGAGAGTTCAGACTCTCACCACTCCTCCATCTGAAGTAAGGTACACCACACTAACCATTGTAAATACCACTCATTTTTTTATTATTACATGCGATTGTTTGCTTGATGTTTGTGAACACTCTCCTTAGCATTTTGTTTTACACAGGCACTGTGTAATTTAAGTGTGGGGGAGGGTGTATGATGGACTGATGCTTGCATTTGTATTTGCATAGTAGAATAGGAACCATGCATCATGATTTCATAGCATCTAATGCATAAAAAAAAACCAAAAATATTGAAAATTTTCAAAAATTGCTTCACAAAAAGAGTTTGATTTTCATGCATTCTTGTAGGATTTAAACTTCATGCATTCATATAGGACTAGCTTGCTTGTTTAAATTGGGAACTATGATAGTGCATCTTTGTTAATGCTAGTGATTTATGAAAATGAAGCCATTGTTTTTAATCATTTGGTGCATTTGATGTTGAACTAGAAATAAAGCTTAACCACTTTTGGAATTTGCATTTATGTGAGCTTTGTTTGAGACTGAATCATGCTTTTAAATGATTTCAACCTTTGTTTAGGGGAATCTAATTTGAATTCGCAATTATCATGCCTTATGCTTTTGTGATTGATGTCATGGATAGTTTAAAATATTTGGATCTTCTTATTCTCTTTTGCCACTCTCTAAAAGATCCATTTAGATTTTCCCACCCTTAACTAAGCCTTATTTCAAGACAAGACATTAATAGTGTGTGATTTGTGAGGCTTCTTCCATCATGGTTGTTGCTTAGCAAAAAGTGTTGGGTTGGAACTACAAGGGAAGCATTCCCGTTGTAGAACTAGCTTACTCTTGAGTTAGATAGGTTAGGATGTTTGGGGAATGGTTTGGATTTATATCTTGGGATTAGTTTTTAAGAGAGGCAAAGAAGAAAAGAAGTCAAGGCACAAAAGAAAAAGGAGTGTAACACAAGCAAAAGGGTGGAAATGGCGATTCTAAACTCAAAGAAAGAAGGCTCATGTTCAAAGAAGAAAAGAAGGTGTAAGAAGTGCAAAACAAGAAAGTCAAAAAGCCAAAGGCGAATCAAGCACCAGCATCACCAAACAAAGGAGCCAAACTCAAAAGAAGCAAAACGCCACCACTTGCAGTTCAAAAGAAGAAGTGTCCTCCAAAGCGCTTGAAAGAGAAAAGTTTCTCGGTTTTAAAAAGGGTTTGATTTCTTAAAAAAAAAAGGTAGCATAGGAGGGTTTTACACTGCTTAGCTAGAGTTAGGAACACATCTTATCGATCTTGAGTAGATGGGAGTCTTCTTTTGTATGTGTAAGTTGTCATTTGACCCTTAGCATTTTGCCAAAGCACAACCATGCTTTTCCTTGAGAGAACCCTTTAAACACCAAAACCAGTTTGTGAATTGGGATCATTTTTATTCCACTAAGCCTTGTCCCTTAGCCGAATGATACCTTCGCATTTGCAAAAGCATGATTCATGGTTTGAGCATAATTGAATGTTAAAAAGGTTGTTCGATTTGATGAGCATGTGTAGGTTGATAGCTTTGTGATCATTCTTGTTTTGTGATGAAAGTGGCTAAGTATTTAAAGTATTCTTCCATCAAGTGCACTCTAGAATTAGGAACATGGACTTCATTTTGATTTATTGTTCGCATTTTCAATGATATGAGTTCCCATTTAAAACCTCATCACCATGTTAAGTGTTTGTTTGCTTGAGGGCAAGCAAAAGCTAAGTGTGGGGGTGTTGATAACTTGATATTTTAGACCATTTTAGGCTGCATTTCATGCATCTATTCCTCTGTTTTTGCATTATAGTTTAGCATTTTAGTATCATTTGCACTTAGAATCAACATAGCATGCATTTAGCTTATGATTGCATACATTTGCATGCATGTGCATGTTTGTGGTAGTTTTCAGGTGTTTTTGGAGTTTCTTGGAGCTGGGGAGGAGATAGAAGCAGCTCATGATCTAAGAAGATGTCAGAAATGGAGTTCTTGCAAAGTCTGGTCCATATCGAGCAAGCATATCGAGCAGAACACCCATGGAGTATGTTCGATGCAAGCAGCAGGACGAGAGGAAAATGATCAGCACGAGGATTCCAAACCGTTGTTCTTCGTCGAGGACCAGCATCGAGCAAGGACATCAATATGTGCTGCACGGACCATATCTAGGTCACATATCGAGCAGAACATCGACCGTACGACCTCGATGCAACTTATTCGCATTGACCACTTGACTTTTGTTAACCTTATCTCATTTTTTAGGTTTTTTATGCTTCTTTTGGCTCCCTACTATAAAAGGGAAGCCACAAAACATTATCTTTATCAAGTTCTATCTTATCCAAGTTTAGCTTTCTATCAAAAACCTTCTCTAAACCTTAAAGGGCCATTTGCCTTAAGGATTTTGATCTTTAATAAAGTTTGCATGTTTATGGTTTAATCTTGTCTTTTAATCTTTGTTCTTGCACCTTGGTAGTTTTGATTTATCATATTTGCATTTTAACCTCATCTAGTTATGTTTAACTCCAAATCAATGGGATTAAACATGATTAGTGAGTTGTCCTCCTTAGATTTAGGGTTCTAAGTAGGGAAAATGGTGATTAAGATGTGATTAAGGAGTGATTAGGCTTGTTTAATGGTTCTATGTTATCTCCTTCTTTTGCAAAGTGATTAATGTTGATAAAGCTTGCTCCTTTTGATTGAATATGGTTTGATAGATGCATATGGTTCGCTTGATGTCTTTATGTCTCTTCTCTAAGCATGGTTCGCTTATTTGGCCTAATAGTCTAGCTTAGTCTATGTTTCCTTTGTTCAGTGACACCAAAGTGATAGTTCACTACAGCTAGATGATTCACTTAGGGCTAAATAATGCTGGTTTTGAGATTCTTGCTTGATGGTTAGATAGTATGAATTGAAAGATCTTGCTTTTGCTTCATTCTTGTTCATTGCTTAGCTTTGTTAGGATGTTGCAAGTTTGTGCTTAAATCCATAATCTTGATTGGTGTATACCTGCCTAGGTCCTTATTGGTTCACAAGATTGATAAGTTGATCTGAATTCTTGCTTGGGTGAGAGAGTAGTTGTTTGATCGGTGCATCTCTTAGGCTAGAATGGTTATAAATCTTTTTGCTCATGGTTGAAGGATACGCCATCACAAGTGGGTCTGACACTTTGATCTTGTTCAATATGAATTGCTTATTGACGCCAAGTGGTTCCCTTTAGATACCTTGTCTAGGAGCATAACATTGAGAATTGCTTGCTTTGTTAATGCTTGTTGAGTGCCTTAGTAGAAATCTCCTTTGTCTCTCTTGAAAACCACTATCCCACAATTGCTTAGAACGTTGAGTCTTATTTTTAATTAATTGTTTTTAAGATCATCTTGTTTAGTTCTTGTTTAGTCATTGCTTTAAGTTCATTGTTTAGTTTTATTCACTTACATTTAGTTTATGCTTTCCTTCTATTGCATTATTAGGTTGTTAGATTTGTTCTTGTATAATCAAATTCTCAATCTTGTTTAGCTTACATCATTGTTTGCATCTCATCTTTCACAATTTGGATTAATACATGATCCCTATTCTACAACTGATTAGAGGCTAAAGACATTTGAGTTTAGAGTGAAAAAATCTTTTTTCAATGCCTATCCCACCAGTTTAGGACAGTTTAGGACAATTTATGTAAACTATGTAAATTTAGTTCCTTCTGTATGTAAATTCAGACTGTTAGCTTAGAAAGCTTAATCCAAAGGATGTTTTTATTTTTTCAGTTTGGAAACTCAAAGGTTTGTCCAAACTAACCCGTTTCATGTCTAGACGAAGTCCAACCCAGTGCAAAAACAAACGTCAGGCCAAAACCGGATCAAGCTAAAAGAAAGTGACTGCGATGAGGTATGATGATATCTTTTGGTTGGAAAGCTAGTTTGAAGCAGATATACATTAGTCATTTGTCTTATGGATTATATAGCCGCTTGGATGCATGGATCTTTGTTGTGAGTGTCACGAGGGATTTTGGAGAATCAATAGTTTTAACTTAAACAGGCTTGGATTCAATTGTAAAGGAGAAACGCAGATTGACCAGATTGAGATGCCCCTCACAGAAAAGAAGAAATGGTTTTCACGTGGTTTAACCAGATTAAGAATATAGAATAAATTCCTAATGAGCGGAAAAGTCTGGATAATAAAGAGTTTCAGAGGTAAACATTTAGGAAACTTTGAAGACAAAAAAAACTAGAAGAGATTTCAATGCAGCAATTGTCTTAAAAAACAACAAAATTTAATCCAAAAGAATAATAACTAATCCAGTGAAGAGAAATCAAAAGAGAAAATAGCCAACGACATAATCCTGTTTTCTTGTTTCCACTTGCACATCAACGAAGTCTCCTTGCTTCTCTCTCGGACTCTAGCAAAGTGAGTATATCACCTTCTCTCACCGGTCCTTTAACATTGCGCATTATAAAACGGTCAGAGTCTGTGAACTTGACTCGAACCTGAGTCACTTGACCCCTGGATCCGGTACGACCCATTACTTTGACAACCACGGCGTGCTTTATCTGAGAATCCATCTTGACTGACTAGACGCGCGAACAATTCAAAGACCAATAACATCAAAATTCACATAATCTATCAATTGATAGCATTCAAAATCAGAAGTAATCAACTTTACAGGAAATCGACTACAGAGCCAGATCTGCGGAGTATTACTATCTATTCTCATTTTGAATTATTCACTAAGACATCTCCGATCTACTTCAATGGCATTCAACAGGAGAAACAATGACACAATTTGGAAAATCTTAGCACGAAACTTGTGATTACGAACTGATACAAAGCACATTAAGAATCTTTATTTCTCATCGTTATCAGAATCGAGGTATATGGATTTCATTTTCTAGCATACAAAGGAAAATTCTACAGGTAGAGTCGAGAGAAAGCTGAAAATGTCAACTTTACTAGACAAATCTACAAGAGATTATAATCAATTAAAGATGCAACACAGAAGATTGTAAGGCGACAAAGATACCTGTAGACGACGGCTACCGAAAACGCGGAGATGAGAGCTTAGCGGCGATACGCGAAGAAGCGAAAACCCTAATTTCCAGAGAAGAGAGAAACAGTGGGATCTCTTGCAATTTTATAGGGGTGCTTAATTTTGTGACTCGGTTATAAACCTGGTGACAAATCTCGATTCGGTTCGGTTTTCAATAACCGAATCGGTCCCTTATTTTTACCCCACTCGGTTCATTAATTATATTCCGTTTCCTTGAACTAAAGGAGCTTTAAATTAAGCTCGGTGGCAAGCGTGGCCCAAATACCGCGGAATGAAATCATTTCATTTTTAAATCAAGGCCCGTCTAGATTTATCCATTTGAAGCCTGCTACGGCCCAGGAAAACACATCAAATACATGTGAACTTTTAGTAAGCTGACTTTATCGGGAAAAAAAAACTTTTAGTTTAAGCTGACTTATCGAGAAAAAAAAAAGAAGATAAAATGATGTATGACTATATTTGGGGTTTTAGTTAGGGGATTGACAAATTGTATATGAGTTAGAAGGAAATGGCAAAAAGATTATTATCGTGTTTGGAAGGTTATTTGAGTTATTTACAGGTACAGATATTTTTAGTAGTTTTATTAACATAATAGGCACTTCTTGGAGGTATTTTGTTGGCTAGGAAAGTCGAAAATAACCCTTGTAAATCTGTTTGCGGTGTTGAGATATTTACTGATATTACAACTAATGTTTTACTGGTGTCAGTTCAAGGCTGGAAAGAAAGGAAATTGCAGCCGCGTGAAGGGATAAACCTAGATCTACTCAGAAGGCAGTCGATGGAAGATTCAACCGGAGTCTAGGACCCAGATTCTTTCAATAGAGTCATCTCCGAATCGGCAATAGTGATTTGGTGAACTATTTCGTACTTTGTATAGAGGTCTGAGACGGGACGGCGAGAGAGGACTAAACGAAGAGTTTGTGTAGGTGGAAATTAAGGAGTTCTGAGATGGAAGATAAATGATAGTATTTTGGTTTTTGTTTTTGTTAAAGTGTGCTTCGCGTTTTGTTGTGTGTAATCATGGTGTTACATATTTTCTGAAATTCTTTGGTGGTAGGCAAATCTAATATGTTGTTGGTTTAGTTTTGTAGGAGAAGATCTACAGGATAAATGGGATAGGAAACTCCCAAGTCGACTGTTTGCTACGAACCGGTTCCCGGATACGACGATACACAACGTACTGAAAAGTAGTCCGGAATGGGAAGCTCTGAGAATGTCTTGCTTTGAAAGGTTATTTAAACTGCCCGTGTTCAGGACACCTGTGTCTGGTAAGCTCACACATGCTTGTTGGCGAGACAGCTAGTGACTAACAAAAAGTATGAGTTGTGGACGGTATTCAAGGACAGCCCTTCCGGTTTTCCCTTCCAGAGTTACGCCTATTTGTGATATTACCATATTTTGCATATTTTGCATGCATTTAGGATAGTTTTTCATGCATTTATCTTGCATTTTAGGCTAGTTTGTTCCATTTGTTGTATTTTATAGATCCTAGGTCTCCTTGCATTCGTATTTTGCATATTTCTTGCCCTTTTGCATCATTATCAGGTTGTTTGGAGCACTCTGGAGTTGTGGAGGTTAGGTAGACGTGAGGAGGATCAAAATGGAGCTTGTGGACACTCGGAGAAGTTAGCCATTCAGCAAAAGGACCCGAGATCGAGTAGCAGATCGAGCAAGGCAGGTCGATCTAGACGAGATCGACCAGAAGATCGAATGACCCAAGTCGATTCAAGAGGAAGAATCGAGTCCAAGATCGAGAGAGGAGATCGATCGTGAGTATGGAAGTGGGCCATGCCATGCAGATCGAGAGCCAGATCGAGTCCCTGACTCGATCGACCCAAGGATCGAGTAGAAGATCGAGCAAAAGGAAACGATCGAGCGGAAGATCGAGCTAGAGATTGATCATCCAACTCGATCTCTGGGACCTTATCCGGCCAGCTCATTTTTGGCATGTAGTGAGGGGACCATTTTGTTATGTTTAGCCATTTTGGGTATATTCCATCGGATCCATTCATTCTGTCGAGACCAACTTAGTTTTTGCTTTCTCCTTTAGGCGATTTTAGCCATTGTTGAACTTTTGAAGCTTTTTATGTTTTAGAACTTCTTAATCTTGCTTAATCATTAGTATTTTTCTTAATTACTTTTTGTTAATCATGCTTAGCTTTCTATCTAGTGCTTTTCAATCGATTTCAAACATGAGTAGCGAGTAGTTTCTCTTTGTGTAAAGGGTCGAGGCGATTCAAGGGTTTAAGAGGTTTAAGTTTTGTGTTTTTCTTGTTCTTCATTCCTTCTCTTCTAGGATCTTGGGGTCTTAAGGCTTAGAGAGTTTTGGAAAAGATCTATATGATTCCAAGGCTATCTTACCTTGACCGGATTCATATGTCCTAGAAAACCAGATCCTAGAGACTAATCTTTCATCTCCCAAACGCCATGGTTGTAGAGCAGGTTAGTTAGGCCATATATTGAAATCTGTTTTTCTTGCTCTTTGATCTCTTTTTCCACCAAACGCCATGGGTTAGGAGAAGAGATTGAGGAAGTGAATCATACCACACGCCATGGATGGTTCTTGTTTTTGTTTTCAAGGCTTAGGGAAAGCTCATCAAATGAGTAGATCTATGTGTTTTCAAACCAAAGCTTGAACCTTTGAACACTCTTGAATATGACCCTCGACCCTGAACCCTTTTTTAGCATTTTTTAACCTCAAGTAATCATCTTTAAGTTATAAAGCTTGCGTCTTTATTCATTAGAAGTCATTCATCTAAGTTGTTAGAAATTTCCTGTTTACCCGCCTTTAGTTCTCGATTTTTAGTAACTAGTAGCTTTGCGTTTTAAATTATCTGTCTTTTTCCAGTAGTTTTTAACCATCTTCCAGGGATTTTAAAATAGTTTTCGTGGTCATTTCGCATTGCATTTAGTTTTTGTTGAATTTCTCATCCATTTACCCGAATTTGACTTAGCTTTACTTGGCTCTTGCATTCCTAGTATCTTTCATCATCCTAGGCTGGATTGACACCTAAAGTACTACAGGAACACTAAGAGGCTTTAGGATTGATATTTAGAACTGTAAAAAGCATGTTTATCAATTTGCAAAGAGATTTGACTTAGCAGTTTTGTGAACAATTGAACCTGATCATTACTGCATGTTTAGTCTGACCGTCTCACGGTTCGTTTCCCCCAGAAGCGTAATTCCTTCGACCAATAATATATTCCCGCAGATGCGAATAAGGTCAAAGTTGACATCTATTAAAGCTGCTCCGTGGCTCACTTCTCCGGAATAGTAACTCCCCCGGCCGAACGGCATACTCCTCCAGATGCATAACATAGATGGGGCGATTCCCTTTATATATATTTAGTCTGACTGTCTTCCCTAGCACGCCGAGTGGAGGTGACAAGACACGAAGATTGACAGTATAAATAGGAGAGAGGTCACCACACAAGAAGGAGACCGGCGGGATGGGCCGGAAAATCCCTCTTAGGGAGAAGGTAACCGACTAAATCCGAATCAGTTTGTCCGGGCAAACAGCATGAACGAGGAAGAATCCTTTTTTCTCCCGAGTGAATGCCTTATAGGATAAATCTCTCTTGACTCGGAACCTTGCCTTTATACTAGCTACATCTTCTTTCTTTACATAGAACACCCCTCAAAACACTCGTAAATAGACAATAGTCTCGATCCCCGTACGAGACTTCTCACCCCTAACATGTATAAATCCCCCTCATTAGTACTTGTTCCCGGTAGGATGTTCATTGACTTGGGCATCGGAGAACCTTCGGGAGGGAAACTCCTTTCCAGTCTTCCCGGAGCCCCGATTGACCACTTGTGTAGTGTTTGCAGGATATCACATTACGACTCCCCCGTAACCAGGACTTAAGCAGGCTTCCGCCCCGGAATGACTTGTCGTCTTCCCCCCCCCCCTCGAGAGGACGAAACTCAGAGTCACAGCTCCACTCCCCGGACGAACTACACAACCCCATGTGGCATCCCGAAATTCGCTCTCGAACAAATGTAAATAATATACAAAAAATATTGTTAGAATTTATTTATTATTTGAAATAACTTATTTATTTATTATTATCTATCACTGTTGGGCTCACTTTTACCATGCACTATCAAGACACGACATGTCGGTAGTAGGCGCAACCGTAATGATGAGTTCCCTGTCTAGGCGTGCCCAACGATTCCCTAGCTAACTGTTTCCGGGCAATTGGCGGGCTTCCCATGTTAAAGAAGTGCTGCTATAGCACACCTACTCCATCTGTGCACTGCACCGATAGGACATGTAAGAGAGAAAGGTGTATAAAAGTGAAGGGAAGGCCAAGAGAGAGGGACGATGAAAAAGGGGCGAGACAGCCATGAGGCACTAGGAGGCCGAGAAGACCAAACAGTGAAGAGAATCAGAGTGAGAAGGAGAAACGCCCAAAAGCCAAAGAGAAAGAACCGCCGAAACATCAAACCCACACCGAAACCTGACTAATTAACTAGGCTTAGGAACATAACAAAAGGGACACACTCAACATTCTCCGAAGGGACTGCCAACTGAGATAAGCTTTTCTTTCTCCCTAAACCTCTACTTTATCCCCCATCGAGAGAGCTCTCGAACCCCACTCTCTCAATGGTCCATTTGCTTTATGTCCACCCTCACCAAGTAGTTGACATGTTTCAGGATCCTCTTCTATGATACCCAAACCATAACACCATCACCACCTATCCACCCTCCCGAGTACCTGTTCCCTCTAGGTCATAATCTAATTTGAGCGTCGGAGAACCTTAGGGAGAAAAACCCCTTTCCGGTTCTCCCAGAGGTCCGACTTACTTGTTTCTAGTGTTTGCAAGACCCATTAAGACTTTCGCTCTAGGACCGTATACCGCTCACCCCCTCTGAGGATGTAACTAGGAGACTCAACTCCACTACCCGGACGAGCCACACCCCTGTAAGCAACCCATAATTTTCTCCAGAACAACTAGCACTATAAGGAGAGGGATAGACCGGTATGTTGTCCTACGAAGAAAGTAGTCGACGGTATTACAAGGCGACTGACCGGCGTGATAAAAAACCCATCAAGTCTGAAGAAGGCGGAACCATGAAGGAGGGCCAGTGCGAAGTAAGCTAGATGACGAAGTAGAGCAGGGAGGAGTCCTTTACTCCCTAAGATTAGGCTAGGCCGCCAGTCGGAGCCATCACCCTCAGGCTGGCC